CGGTTCGATCCTCGACTGGAGCAGGCAAAGCTGGGGAACAATAGTCTGTACGGGGGAGGGAGGAGGAAAAGAGAGAAAAATTGAGAAATTGAGAGAAAATGAAGTGAAATGGGAGTTAATATTGACTCTGCTGCCCGTCAGAAGCTACAGGACACATATATTACATTATTAGTTTGAGAAATATGTCCATAGATAACACTTTGCTGTAATATTGCATGGGGCGCTGTGGATCCAAAGGTTGCCGGTTCGATCCCCGACTGGAGCAGGCATCTCTAACCAAAAACTCTAACTGAAATATTACGAATCATTTAATTAATCACTTATTAATTGATACAAATAGGACAATGGCTTATTACGAATGTCATACAGTCAAATATATGTACTTAGTGTACATAAGTGAACATACTTATGTAACAATGATATAGATAATAATTAACCTAATTTACATAGCAATGCAAGAAACATTTCTATCAATTAGTTGCACTAGCGGACACCTACACATGTATGTTTTGTTTTGACAAAAATTTATAAAAAGTATTCATATGTATTGTTTGTATGTATGTATGTATGTGTTTTACATGGCTTGAGAAAAAATACCCAATTCATTAATACTTTATATACTTCAATTAATCCTTTAAAAATGAAAGGAATTAGAATTGAAAGTTTGTACTTGTTTTCTCTGAGTGACTGTTAAATAAATAAAGATAAAGGCCTTGCTGTTTAAATATATTAAAAATTTATTACAAAACATACATCTTAATTATCTCTCTCTCTCTCTCTCTCTCTCTCACACACACAGTAAGCATATCACAGATACAAAGAAATTGAAGAAGGACAGATTGGTTTGTCTTGACTTAAAGACAAACCAATCTATTTCTTATCTGCCCTCTTCTTCCGCATCTCCTCCATCCACTGGTCAAGTGGAATACCAGCATTTTGGGGACAGTATATGTACCCATAATACTGGCTGTGGCCACTTTCTTTGTTCCGGGGCTGTTGGCACTGACTACATTTATTTTTGTCAACTTTCCGATTGTAAGGCCTCCGGGCAGGTGGTGGGGAGGAAAGGGGGCCAACAGGAGCAATCCGTTTGTATGCATTGACTTGTGGGGCCGAAAACACATACACAAGTGGGCTACTGGTAGGGTTGGGGCTGGAAACAGTAGACAAAGGGGCGGGTAGGTGGAGATGTCTGCTGAGGGAACAATAGCCTCTGAGCTGGCAACCTTGGGCAGGCAGACTGCAGAGAATGGGTGTGTTGGGCCGGAGCTGCAGTCTTCCTCTTGTCCACTGCTTGTCCTGCTGTACTTTGAGGCAAGTGGTAGTGATGTTGTGGTCCAGGCCGTGGTGGTGCAGCAGTGGGGCGTACCTGTACTGGTGGGAGAGGTACAGGAGCAACAGGAATGGAGGCAGGCAAGTTGACCCCTTGCAGCAGAATATTACATTCCTGCCTCTTCAGTCGCTTGTTGTGCCACTGAATAAGAGTTGTTTGATTAACATCAAACAACTGCAGAGTAGAGCTCTGCATGACTGCACCATTACCCAGGACCAGCTGTCTGATCTTGCTGTAGTCTCTGAGAATTAGAGTCCATCTAGTCAGTGCATATTTACCCTGTTTTTTTGGACTTTTATGGATGTCACAGAGTTTTACAAAAATGCACTCTACCAGACGACAGCAATCTGGCCACTGGGCAGGGGATCCTGTAGATCCTAGGACGCAACGTGACATGCTCTCCACACCTGGCGTAAATTCAGGTTTCTTTTTAGAGCACCTGAAGCGTCCTGTTGTCAGACGCGACTGGTGCCGTGCAGAGTACGCCACACGCTGCTGGTCATATGGTAGAAGGTTCTGCCACAGAGCTATGACGGTACTGGCCTGCTGGGAGTTAAGTGTTTGTCCAGTTTCATTCCTCAGTCCCACCAAGTACTGTGCCAGGCTGTCCACTCTGTCCATCCCTGGGATATTGCGCTCATCCACAGCCTGGCAAATATATGAATATATAAAAATAAAATAAAAACAATATCACAGGCAGAAAAATAGCACATCTTTCACACTGTTTACATGTCACAAAAGACCTACCAGCTGTTGCTGTGGTGCTGCAGGAGTCATGGCAGGTGGCCCAGAGGGACCTGTAGTTGGAGTAGTGGCAAGAGAGGCTGAGACGATGGAAATGTAAGGAGGAGCAGAGGCTAGGCTGGTGGGGACAGCTGTTGGGCCAGAGGGTGCAGTGGTCTGCTCATTTGCAACCTGTTAAATTTAATAATAAAAAATAATACTAATGAAATAAACATCAAAATAATACAATTACAAGCAAGACAATAACACCACTGATCCAACATGTCACAAAAGACTTGCCAGTTGTTGTTGTGGTGCTGCTGCAGGGGTGATGGGTGATGGCAGTGAAGAGGGACTAGCAGCAGCAGAGCAGGGACAAGCATGCCCAATCTGGAAAATATAATACTCTTTTAAAAACAGTTTTATAAAATGGATTTTAATTAGAGCTTATCTTTTAAATTATGCTTTTATTCATTTATGTATTCTTTAGATTTTTGTCATTGTCTTTCATCTCTGTCTATTTCATGATTGCATTGTGTATTTTTTTGTGATTTGAAAATGTGTTTTTGAAAAGTGATATACAAATACATTTTCTAATTATTATTATACAGTAATGATGATGATTAATATTATTACACAATAATAATTATTATTATAGTACAATATGTCTAAATTATCCAGAGCAACTGGGAAGTCCACTGACACAGTATAATAAAAAAAATAAAAATAAAAATGTGACAGGCATAATTACCAGTTGTTGCTCAAGTGCAGCTGTAGTGATATCAGATGCAGGCCCTGAAGGTCGTGCAGTGGTCTGGAGAGAGGTGGGAGTTGGAATGACGGCTGAGCTGGTGGTGGCAGGTGATGGACCAGAGGATGGGTCCAGTAGCCCAACGGTTGGGTCCAAACCAGAATCTTCAAAGCCCTCATCTTCCAACTCTTCCTCTGTGCCTACATCTTCCAGCATCTGCTCAGTCTCCTCTGAGTCAGGTTGGACATCCTGCAAGGCCCTCCCTGTCTGGCGGTATAGGTAATCTATACCTATTAGCTCCCCTGGGACAGACAAGAAAATAGAATAGAGGAAAATTTACTTTTCAGAAAATTCATAAGATCATTCTATTTTATTGATATAGAAAATAGCCTCCTGATGGAAAGCTTAAACTAACCAGTGTAAACAGCAGGTGGCTGAAAAGAGGGGACAAGCTTCCTTCCAAGCACCTTGACACTGTAGTTGACACAGTGAACAAGGTCACCTGAGTAGCTAAGCAGTGATGGATCCCCGACTGCCAGAGATGCAGCTTCACGGTCCTGGTTCCATCTGTAAAGGCCCTCAAGGAGGTACAGCTGGAAATTCAGGCTGTTGGCACTGGTTCCTTAAGATAGTACAATTATGAACAATATTGTTAGATTAACTTATTGT